TTTTCACAAAACATCTCCTTCGTCATTTATTCCCACACAATAATATTCCTTAAAAACCATATGCCACAACTTGTTCAGTCATTCCCCAGATGATGAGCACCCCCTCAGTTTCTAATTATTTGCCACCACAAAAAAAGCTGCTATAAATATTTTTGTAAAAGTTCCTTTTCCTTTTTCTTTGATCTCCTTGGGGTACAACCCTAATAGTGATATTGCTAGATCAAAAAGTATGCACAATTTTATATCCCTTTGGCCTATGACATTCTTTAAAAAAAAAACAAGATGTCCATATATTAGAAGTTCACAATTTAATATGCAATTATCTGTTCTAACTTTTATGTAGAAATCCTTGTTTTGGGGGGTATCTATTAAGTGTAGAAGAAATAGATAGATAGATAGATAAACAATGGTTCAAGAATGGTCAGATGATTATGGCAGTGCAATCTGTAGGGTTTTTTTAGTGGTGACGAGTGGAATGTTCCCAATTTCTCCTCACAATGTAGCCCAAAGCTCAATCATTTGTTGTTATTTTAATAGCATTTTATTGGTCTTCTAAAAAAATATTTTAAAAAATCACCATAATTTCTCACAGTATCCTTCCCACTCCCTTGAATCTATTTCTTTAAGAACTATCCTTTGAAATGTTTTGCATAACTTCCTATGTATAATGGATATATTACTTGCCTTCTCGATGGGTGGGGGAGGGAATAGAGGGAGAGCATTTAGAACGCAAAATTTTTGAAAACAAAAGTTGAAAATTAATAATGATAATAACAATAAAGAACTCTCCTTTGGCCATTTATTTATCTATTGAGGAATAGCTCTTGTTCTTACAGAATTGATCTGTCCCTTATATAGGATGTCCCAAGTATCTTAGCACATTTTAAAGCTTTAATAGCTTAGAACTGCACTAAGACTTGTGAGACACTTGTATTTCTTGTGGACAGCTGGATGGTGTAGTGGATAAAGCGCTGGGCCTGAAGTTGGGAAGACATCTTCCTGGGTTCGTATCTGGCCTCAGACACTTACTACCTGTGTGTTCCTGATCAAGTCACTTAACCCTGTTTGCCTTAGTTTCCTTATCTGTAAAATGAGCTGCAGAAGGAAAACCCCAAATGGAGTCATAAAGAGTTAGACATGAATGAACAACAAATATATCTTATATATCAGAGAAACTTGCCGCAAAAAAGTTCTTCCCCAGTCAACTCTTTACCTTATTTTAATCATGTTGATTTTATTTCTGCAAAACTTTTTAAGTTTTATGTAAACTAAATTGTCCATTTCATCTTCTGTGATCCTGTCTGTCCTTTGCTTGGTCATGAATTTCCTCCCAATTCAGTTGTTCCTCTAATTTGTTTATATGACCCTTTATAGCCAAGTATTCATTTGGGGATTATTTTGGCATATTTTGTCAGATGTTGATCAAAACCTTTTTTATTATTACTAATATATGCTATTATGTTTAATGTTTTCTTTAAATCAAACCAACCCTACATTCCATGGTGTAAAATTCAAAAAAAATTTTGTTCTTGTATTTTCTTTGCTTTAGTATTTTGTCTGGTGTTTTCATATTAATATTCATTATGTATATCGTTCTATAGTTTCCCTTCCCTACTTGGTTTCTCTCTGACATAGGTAGCACGGCCATATATATTTCATAGAATATGGAAATAGAATTTTTTCTCTTATGTTGGCAAATAGTTTATGTAATATTGGAATTGTTCTTTGAACATTGATAAAATTTACTAGTAACACCATCTGGTTCTGAGGTTTTTTTTCCTTTGGGAATCTATGGCTTATCCAATTTTGGGGGGACAGTAATTGGGTTTTCTTTTTTTTGTTATGTTAATCTGGCTGTTTTCTTTTTTTGTAAATATTAATCCATTCCATCTAATTCATTATGTTAGCATATGCTCGAGCAAGATAATTTCTGATTTACTTGATTTCATTTGTTGTGAATACTTTTTCCTTTATGACAATGGCCATTTAGGGTCTCCCTTTGTCTTTAAAAAAAAAATTATTAGATTTTTAAAAAACATCCTAGTTATATCAATTCAATGCTATTTTTGCTTTCAATTTTATCTCTAATTTTTGAAATTTGTCTTAGTATTTTTTAATGTGTTGGTTTTCAAGTTTTTGTTTGCATGCCCAATTCATTCATCTTTTCTCTTGATTAAAGTGCGTATATACATAAATTTTCTGCCATGGACTGCTTTAACTGAATCTCAGAGTTTTGGTATGTTGTCTTCATTGTTGCCACCGTCTCATTAAATTGTCTGTTGTTCCTGTCATGTTCTTTGACTCACTAATTCCTTAGGATTATATTATTGTGTCCCAATTAATTTTTAATCCTTTCTTTAAAGACCTTTTGTTATTATACTGTCTGTGGATCTTGGGCAAATTGCTTAATCTGTTTTGTTTTTTCATGTCTGACTCTTAGTGACCTTATTTGGGGTTTTCTTGGCAGAGAAAATGGAGTGGTTTGCCATTTCTTCCTCCAACTCATTTTATGGATGAGAAAACTGAAGCAAAGAGTTAAACCAGCTGCCTAGGACTACACAGCCAGGAAAAGTGTCACAGATCACATTTGAACTGGACACTCCCTTATCTCTCCTTGCCCTAGGTAACTCCATACACTGCAGAGAAGTGGTTAAAGGGATCACTTTGTTATCAGTAGATGAAAGTTTCCTTATCTGGGAATTCTCTATTCTAAAGAAATCACGAGTCCCATCCTATCTAGTTCCATTTTTTTTTTTTTGGTCTAGTGTGCTTTTAAGTATAATGTGTTATTTAACTGCTTTCATTTTACTATTACCCTTGCTTTTAGTTCATGTGTAGTGTACAAAAAAATCCTTTTAACTGTTAACCTTTTGTTTCCATGTATTTCTTGTAAACATTGAATTCTGCTTTCTAATCTATTTTGCTATGCTCTTCACTTTTAAGTTCATACCATTTATGTTCTTGGTTGTGATTGTTGTGTATCTCCTCCATCTTTTCATCTTATACTTTCCCCAACACCCCCTTCTTTACAAAAGTAATGAGAATGTATTCTTTCCCCTCCACTTCCTTTCTTCTGTTCCCCTCATCTGTAGTGCTCCCCTCAGCTGTAGTGTTTTCCTTACACTAATGCCTGTTATTTTACCCTCCTTAAACCCCACATTTACTTTTTTATGCTTGTTTTAGTTCATTGTTTTTGATGGTTTTTTATACCCCATTCTTGATTTGTGTTCAATTCTACTCTCAACAATTCAGATGAAAGTGATTCTCAAGTGATACTGGCTTCTTTCACCCTTTCAACCAGATTTCTATAGTTTTTCTTATAAACACCTGTTATGTGTTAATAAATTTCGACCTCCTATTGACTCCCAAATCAAAATAACCTCTAGACCCTGTTGTCTTATTTCACTGACTCATGAATATATTAGTGTTATGTGGGGATATTCCCCCCCCATTTGAATGGAAAAATGTTCTTAATGTATGTAGTGCCTTCTAATTGAAATAATTATCTTCCTAGGTTTCTCTTGATACCTGTATTTGCATTTTAAAGACTTAAACTCAGGTCTTTTTTTTTCTTTTTTAAATCAGGAATGCTCGCAAATTCTATTTCAGTAAGGTTCCATTTCAACCTGTTAGATCATGCTGTTTTGTGTGATGTTATTTTGAATTGTCTTTTATTTTCTGCCTTTTAGAACATCATATTCAGGCTCTCAACTTTTAAACTAGTAGCTGCCCGTTATGTGACCCTGACTGTGGCACCTTTTTGAATTTTGCATCCGATTTCCTTCTTCAGGCTACTTGGCAGTATTTTTTCTTGTCTGACATTACATTTTAGGGTACCTTTATGGAAATCAAACTGTCTTCATTTTACCCTCTGGTTCTGTTAGGTTGTTTTCAATGATGATTTATTTTATCTAGGAACTTATTTTGGGTAGTCTGTGATTCTTATATTACAGGTGCTAGGCAAATGCTCCAGGACAATTTGTCTGTTATAAATTTACAATGCCTTGTGATGTGTGGAATGATTTGTTCTCTTCTTGACTGGCTCCTCTCTGATCTGTGCCCAGAGCTCCAGGGGTGTTTACCTTCCCTGGGAAGTCTTTACTGGGGATAGGGATGTACTTGACTGCACTTGGGTTTCCTGACAGGAGTAATCTGAGGCTATAGGAAGCTGGATGCAAATCCTACTATTCAAATACCTTAAATTTAATGCACTTGTGCCTAAGAATCTGTTTTCTGGGAGGAAAAACTTTTTTTTTTTTAAAAAAACACCTTATGAAGTAGAGGTTGCACTGGTTTACTAATAAATCTAACCTTTCTAGTTACGGCACAGTCCTTCTCTAGCTTTTAATACTTTTACTTCTACTTCAAGAAAGAAAGAGTATCATCTTATTTTAACTAAACAGTCCTTTTGAATAGTAAAATCCTCACCTACTGGAACTATAGAATGTTACTTTCAAAAACGGCTAGACCCGTTAGAACTTGTCTAACTACTAGCTCATTACAAAGTGTGTAAAAAAGTGCAATTGTTATTTTAACAATTGCAGCAGTGATTTGCACATAATGTGCACTTAATGTTTGTTGGGTGCTATTTCTGTAACTTTTTTTTCCAGGTTGCAGACATTCTGCTTTGATGACAAAAAAAAAGTATTAAAAGTGGAGTCCTCCACTTAGTAAACTATCAGATTAGCATACAGGCAGTATTTATGTACTTCTTTGTTCCACAATGTTCGATGTTCTTAATAATGCCATTTTCTAAGTCTATCCAGTGGCTTTTATTATAACGTAAAGTGCTTCTTGACTTTTAGTGCTTTTGCAAAAACATGCCATAAAATGTTTAGAATCTGACCTGACAATGTATGTTGATTATCAAATGTAGACACTGCTCCCAAATACTTGTGGGAAATTTTCCCTAATAACATAGATTCAGTTAGGTAATTCAAAGTCTGAGCTGTCTTATCCTGTGATAATCAGAACCAAATTATTAGCCTGAGTACCCACCATGCTTGCTTATATATTTTTATTCACATTTGCACAATAAAGTGTTGATATTCTCAAGTTCATTACTCCTCTTCCTTGGGCATTTCTAGAATAACAACCCTAATCATGAATAATTTTTGAAAAATTTTTAAAGAACTTTTTGAATAGGTGTCACTTTTTAAACCAGCAAAACAAGTTTTGAAGATACTAAAATCAGCATACAACGGAGCACAATACAGCCTAATGAAATTGATTCCATAGATGAAAACACCGACAAAGGCTAATCATTATAACATTGAGAGGGATAAAACGAAACATAAGCTCACCAATGGCATATTTCACCATTATGAAGATCTAGCACAAAACCCAAAGGATAGTCAGGTCCTTCAGATGTTCCTTTTTATAAATTACATCATGTAGATTTCAATCCCCCCCAGAACACTGCAGAGCCTCCTAGATGAGATACATAACAGCTCGAAAGGTCATCCTAAATGGGTGATACAACTGTTAATAATTTGTTTGGAATCATACCAACCAACCAAACTGAACATACTTTTTTTAACCCAATAGTCTCACTATGGGGACCTCAAGGAAGTCAGACACAAGCACATACCAAAATATTCATAGCAGCACTCTGTAATAAGCACAAGAACTCGAAAAAAAATTAAAACTGAAAACGGTATATGAACTAATTAATTCTTGTGCAGTTAGAAATGAAGAAAAGCAATAGAGCTGGCTGCAGAGCCAGGAAGACTTGGAGCCAAGCCCCGCTTTGACATAGACTCTGTGACCTAGGACAAGTCCTTGAACCAATCCAGGGATTGGTGGTTTATATTTTGACAACTATGTAATTCAATACAATTTGTTTGCTTTGTAATCCTATGTGTTTCACACATTTAAAAACATTCTGATAAAGGATTTAATGACTTTACCAATTGCCAAAAGGATCCCCAATACAAAAAAGATTAAGAATCTCTGTTCTAATTAGATTTGACTTGCAGCAAAGGTGCTGCCCTGCATTGATAGAGGGAGTTTCTTCACCAAACAGTACACCTTACTAATAGGATTTGGTGCTTTCATCAAGAAATGTGGAAAGATAAGTCTAATAGCAAAACAAGTAGACATCTAATGTCCATGAGTACATTCATGACAAAGGATATCAAACTTTGTGGAAAAAAATAAAAGGTACTTGGAAAGGTTAAAAAAAAATCTAAGTCTCTCATAGATGATGTGGGAAACTACTAGGACAAACAATTGTAAATGTCATTGAAAATTTGTTTTCTTGGTTTTTGCTTGTTTTTGTCCCTAGCATGGGATATGCCCAATGTATTCTTAAAACAAAATGGCTGCAGTAGCCCAGCTATCCAGATAGGAAAAATTGAGTGAATATTTATTGTCTAGACTGTGGTGTCATGATAACTCGAAGTGTTCCAACTACCATAAATAAAGCCACAGAACTATGACTAGATGTACTAAACTCCATTTTTTATGCTTTCCAGAGAGATTTACTACAGCTACAACCTAGAAATTGTGACAGCTTTCACAAGGCATTAAATAATTTTCTATTTAAATAGTTATAATACAACTTTAAAATTACATTCATTATCATGAAATGATTTGTCTTACAAAAAAAGCTTTAAAGTATATTTAAGATGTAGCATATAAATATTACACTGCAAACAACTACTTTTTGGTTGAAGTTAAAACACAGGTCACTAGAAAACAAATTCTGATAAATGCCTTTTCTGCTGCCCACCCAAATAAAGTGGGCAGCTTGTAGAACTATGGTTCTGAATGACCAAAACCACCCCCTTAACACCAAGTTCTCAAGGCTTGACTGAACAGAGGATCTTATTTCTTTAAGCTCTTTAATGTTTCTATCAGAGGAGAAACTCAGGACCAAACCATGCTCTTTTCTGTACTCCCTTTATCTACAACTTTCTTTCCCTAAGTTTCGGTCCCTTCTAATTGTTGACCCATTTTTGTCCCAAACTCAAAATACTAGTCTAGCCATACCTTCTCTTTCTTATGATTTCATTAAATTGGAATTAATCCGATACTAAAAGGAAACAAAGTAGAATGAGTTTATTTTAAGATAGCAATGAATGCAATTAAAAAGGCAACTAGTTTTCCTGAAATTCTATGAAGTTCATTTTGGTTGACAAACGCTCTATTCCTTCACCTCCATCTGACAGAAAAAAAAGAAGAAAGTTTTATACAAGGGCACACCCACAAAACTTGTGTTTAGAAATAGATTGATAATCTGTTTGTAGACATATATATATACACATACACACACACATATATATATATGTTTCTGTAATTACATAGACCAATTTAAAAACTACATTTTCCTGTCCATCATACAACTGTTTTTGTCCCAGTTTCCAAACTTTCTTTACCTTAAGTTTTGACTCAACACAAAGATGACCACTTTCAATAATACATCAATAATTTTGAGTCAATAAAGGAAAAATAAATGTAAACCAAGTTTATTTTGCTTTTAAGTAGTGTTCTTAAAGCACTACAGCATGGTAAACAATGTAAATTAGTATAAGTCATCTCAAAAGCCAGAGTTTTTTTTTTTTTTAATGAGTTGTTAAAAAGATGCAGCCTATTCTAACAGGATAAATATTTTTAACCATTTCACTTCGAGTTAATGAAGGCTCACAAATGAGCAACACTCCTCATTGAGGAAAACAAAAAGCTGTTGTCGACAAAGCGACAGCACACACACACAAACAAAAAGAACTGTGTAAAAATAACTAACTGTGTTCCCATACTCTTTGAACTTGCTTTACAATGGGATGATATGCACATGATCTTGCTGCAAACTTGCCATACAGATTTGTAATACATGTAGTCTAGCCATCCAATTCAGTCCAAGTAGTGCTACTTTCAAGACAATGCAGCACTATAATAATCCTTTAACAATGCAATTGTTTTACTCATTACCTTTTCTTCTAGACTGAAATGTAGGCTAGAAAGAAAATGCTCCCTAATTAAAAATTGGTATTGTTACAGGAAAAAATTGTATAATTTTGCAATAGAATTTACAAGTATATTTTTTCAAATTCAATTTGCTTCTTCCCCCCATCCCAGCCACAAAATGGGCATGAAGTAATATTGTTTTTTAAAATGCCTTAATTTTCAACTTCATGCAAATCTAAATAAAGATGACCAAAACAAAAGCTTAAACATTGGAAGGATATTTCACAGAAAATTTCTTATACAAAAAACACATAAGAAAAAGGGCCACTAGGTGACATTTTAATTTACAAATTGGCATCATTTTGGTCAACAAATATCCAAATGCTGTTTTCTTCTACCACAACAAAGCAGCTGTACAGAAAAAACCCAGCATAACTTGTTTAATTTTTAATCGCACATTTCTTCAGGAATTTCATGTGGATTAAGGATGCCAGGGACAGACATCTGAAGTTTATGTTTCTCTTCCTGAGCCTGTCGAAGGGCTGTTTCTCTTTCTTCTAAAAACAGGTCAGATGTATCTTCTCCTGCAAATTCCTGTAAAAAGGGTCATTTAAATGCTTATTTCATGTAACAAACTCAGTAGTTTGTTTTTTCTTTTAAAAAGTTATTTCAAATAAAAAGAAATGCCAAATTTTAAAAAATTCACAATTAAAAAAGTTTTTCCAGAGTAAAACCATTATTAAGCATTATTTCTCAAATAAATGTCACAGAGTAATGAAAGAATAATGACCATCTTCAACTTGGCTAAATTGGCATGCCAATTTAGGCCAGGTTCTCAAAATTTTTATTTTATTCATGTATCAAAGCCACTAAATATGGTAATTATCACATGAGATGAGGAACTGAGAGCATACTCTATTAAGGTAACTCGAACATATTTACCTCCTAGAAAGGTATTGACATTAACTCACAGGGTGCCCAAAAGTCTTAGTGTAGTTATTGAACATTAAATATTGAGCAAATAAATGCATAAGCTATATATAAACCCTACCTAGCCATTATAATATAAAATATTAGAAACTACATTGGCATATCATCATTTGATCTTCATTATAAGCAAGATGATGTATGTACTCTTATAGGACTGAAAAGAATTCAGATGCGGAAGGGAAAAAGATTATTCAATTCTTAATTTAACTTTTCCCTGGAAGCCAAGGACCAGAGAACTCAAGCAACTTACCAAGTTCACATTTATATAGTGCTTAGTGCAGAATAAAAACAGCATTCAAAATCTGGATTGTAATACTCCAAGATCTATTCTGTGCCCCCCCCCCCACTATTAATAAATAATATCAACACACAAACACAAATTGTATGGTATTTACAAAAATTATCTCACTTAATGCTCATAACAATTTTTAGGTAGATGCTGTTATTATCTCCATTATACAGGTGAAGAAACTGAGAGTTAAAGAGGAAGGTCTTCAAAGAGCTTAAAGTGTCTGTGGCAGGATTCAAAACTCAATTCTCCCCCGCTATTATCAATACTATTCATTGTGCCACCTACCACACTGGTCTTTCAACTCTAAAATTTTTTCCTGAGTGTTCTTAGCTACCTTACAGGTCAAATTATTGGTACTTTAACTCCATCTAGCATGGGAGCCAATATGAACTGTACCTGGTATTAAAAACTATCAGTACAACAGTGGTGTCAAATTCAAATAGAATTGGGAGCCATGAAACCATTATGCATAAGAATACCTGGAGGCAGAATATTAACTAAGCCACAAATGAACATTTATTTATGTTTTATGTTTTGTTAAATATTTCCCCAATCTGGTTCATCAAAACTTGGGAGTGTATCAGGTCGTGTGCTTGATTGATACCCTTGAAGTTGAGATTCCAAGTGAATTTAACCTTAGAATCTGGCTTTCTTTGTGATATCCAATTTCTAATAGCTTGTTAGGGCTAATGAATCTGAGTACTCTAGTATTGACACCAGCACTGCCCCCCCTTTACATTCCCCTATGATTTTTCCCATGAGTTTGAACAGTTCAATTTAAGGCCTATGTGAACACAAAAAAAAGGCAGAAAAATCAACCTATTAAACTATATTTGCCACTTAAGAATGTCAGAAGAGAAAGTATGATAAGATTGTTTAATCAAAATTTCAACTGATAATTGCCAGTCAAATACAACCTTTAAAATGTAGAATAATAAAAGCTCAATTTGTGGCCAACTGCAACACAACACAAGGAATTCATTATAATGTAAACTACTATAAAACACAGGAAATAAATTCAATATATATTACATACAAAATTTTGGAAAGTGGGTTTCTTTTAATTGAGGGGAATAAGGGGCAGTGAAATAAAGGTGGGGGATATATGAAAGGTAATACAAGAAAAATAAGAAAACCAAATGTGTATTCACCTTACATTTCTTTCCTATGGCAGCCTCATATACTTAAGGATATTTGGGCTCCTTCATCACAAAATTACCACTGCTGCCTTTTTTTCTTTTTAACCTCCTGATGCAGCTTGGAATTGAATAAAAAACTTCCTAATATATCCAAAGGCGTATCCCCCTATTTCTATCCCTGAAATTCCCTGTTTCAGTATAATCCTAAATCTGATTCCCTTCATATTACTCCCTAAAATAGGGTTAAAGCTCCAATTAATAAACAGGATCCAAATAGAAAATAAGATCTAGCATATATAATTTTGCAGGGTGGGGAACCTGCCCTCTAAGTCCTCAAGTGTGGCCCTTTGACTGAATCCAAACTTCAAATCCCCTTAAAAGGAACTGTTACGTAAAACTCAGTCAAAAGGCCCCAAGCCTGACCTATCCCATACTTAATTACTTTCAATAAACTAAAAGGATCCTTTGAAGCTACAACATGTTAAACTACATCCAGCTATACTCCACAGTAATGAAGTTGGTATTACAAGAAAATCTAAATAACATACCTTTATCTGTACCAGGAAATCCCTAAGATGTTCCTTGAAAGCTGGGATATCCTGATTTAAGCTGAAGAGTCCTGTTACAAACAGTTTAACTTGAGCACTGAAAAGCAAAAACAGTGATGAATCATCAACATTTCTACAAACTGTGTTCAAAAGGCAAATTTTAAAGAATATACTTACTCCTGCAGGTGAGGGAAGGCAGATTTGAGAAGATTAGCCACATACTCCTGAATAAACATTTGGTTGTTAACTGGGTTTCCAGGATTTAATGGTGTACTTATTTTTCCTTCTTCTACTAAATTAAACATGTATGCAAGAATTGAAGCATGCATTGTTAACCCTGTGGATAATATGAAAATCATCAATATTGTTGGAGGCTTAACACCACAGATGGTACCTACTACAGAATTCAGAACCTGACCTCATATTCTTACCAGCAGTATGTGAGGTGTCTGTTACAACTGAAAAGATGTGCTGAAGGATATCACAGAAATAGGTCTGATAGAAACTCTGAGCAGCAGCTTCTTCTTGTGCAACATTTTGCAAGAGTGTAAAGAGTATTTGTAGGCCTAGAATATATAGAACAAAAACTTCACCAGTCTTTTTCATATTATTGACAAAACATCAAAATTATATTTAAGCTTATAGAATCACTTATATTGAAGGCATGAAGTAGCACATATTCAATATGTTCTGTTTCCCCACTAATCCTATTTTAGCAAAGCAAAGTAAAAATAGTGGATAATTTAACATGACTTCACTGGAGTCACTCCAAACCCTTTGCTACTACAAAATCCTTCACTAAAATTTACCTTTTGAACCATTCCAACCTGAATGACGGCTAAGGCACAGAAATATTTAAATGTAATATAACCTTTTAAGTGAGATGTATTAACGTACAAGGCATATTTAACCACTCTACTGTACTATATATCCAACAGTATCTTTTTTATGTAATTATCTTGGACATTTTGTATTTGTATCTTATCAGAAGAAATGTGAAAAAAGTTCAGAAGGAAGCAAAGAAAACCAGGGCAGTGTTAAAAGATGTGGGATTTATTAAAAGAATTTTGAATGGGAAAGAGACTGTATACTTTCAGATAGAATCCTCTTTCTGTTCTGCTGCATATATGGATTGGGGGGGGCATTAAGTACAGAATTTTAAAAATTTAAAAAAAATTTGTTGCATTGCACAGCTTAAACTCACTTTTTCCTTCCCCTGCACCACATACCTACAGAATGCAAGCTGGCCAAGAGACAGAAATCATATTGTTATCGCTTCTTCCAAGTGCAAACAGTATCACAATGCAGCTCAATCCATTACTATTACTACATTAAATTTTATGAGATTCTAGAAGTAAACAAATGCTGTGCACTCTGACTACATGAAGACATCAGCATAGTCTATTCACACATTTTGAATTCAAATTTGAAATTTTAAGATACAAATTCGGACTAGAATTTCAAAATTCTTTACCTGTATCTGCAACATTCCTCATAGTATGCTTGAAAGCCCAGATGATGGAATCCAAAACTAACTTAAATTGTGCAGGTGGAATGGCCAGGAAGGCTGGGAAACAATGAGAATTCACAGCCTGAAGTAGTAGGAAAAAGTTTGTTCTGTGTTCAGGATATTCTTCAAAGTCCTACAGATGGAAGGTGAAAAAAAAAAGTCAAGTTTATATGCCATTGTTTATTACCTAGAGGTTGCAAAGAGCCAAAGAACTGTGAGAACTATTGCTACTAGGCTGTATGACCTTGGCAATCACTTCTGTTTTACTTTCTTCCTAATGCTGTCATGCATATCAAGTGAGAATGAATGTGAATGTACTATCACCTTTCAATAGTTTTAATACACTAACAGTTCAAGGCCAAACACTAAGGTGTCAGTGAGTGACTGAAAAGCTGCTGCAATCTGTTAATCAACAGGCATGTGCCAGGAGTTTGCGAGGCTTTTTGTTTGTTTCTGGGGGTGAGGCATTTGGGGTTAAATGACTTGCTCAGGGTCACACAGCTAGTGAGTGTTACGTGTCTGAGGTCAGATCTGAACTCAGGTCCTCCTGACTCCAGGGCCAGCGCTCTATCCACTGCACCACTTAGCTGCCTCTATAACCCAAGTTTTGAAGCACTATACATAAACTTGGTAATTTCTAGGAACATCACATCATACATACTAGTAAATCCAGTTAGTCATGAAAGTATGCCATTTTTAAGTAGTTATGTATCAACAAGTGCATTAATGAAAATAGCAGCTATAAGTCTTCTATACACTTTTTTTTGGTAATCAAACACATTAAACTAATTATAATGTATGTTTGTGTGTTAGTTAAGAATCGAATGAAAATGCTAGCACATATGACTTGTCAGACATTTGCAGACAAGTTTAAAGAATACAAAGCATACATAGCAAAGGCCAGAATGAAACCAAAACATCTACATTTTCTTGTCACACTTCTTTGGAAAGAGGATAAGGCAATTATGACAAGGGATTCTTAGATACCATCTATACCTAATCTATTTTAAGAACATTACCTTTTATGCAGGTATATTAAGTACCCTATGGAGATTATTCTCATTCTAACTAGCTATTGAGGTCAAAGACCATGGTACTTCTTATTTCTGTGTCTATTCCGAATGACATCCTCATACTACTCAATTTATCTTTATCATATTTATCTATCACTTTATCAATAATCATAGGAAAATATGAGAAATCAAAACAAGTATTAGGTTTAAGCTCACACTGAGCAAACTGATAAAGATCACAAGCAGTAGAAACAGTCAACAACTGAAGGTTTGTGGAAAGACAGGGTCACTGATAAACATGGTTGACTGTTAACTTTAGAGTAATAAATTGGCCCAACCAAATTGGAAATCAATTTGGAGTCATGCTCTAACAATTTCAGGAATATGGAGAAAAGAGAATCAGGAAGCAAAAATACATGGGGAGAGCGATTTTCTAGTATGTGTACCCAACTTATCAACCTTATGGTTTGATGATACCATAGAAGTATGATTTAGAGCTAGAAAGGACCACAGAAGTTCTAACCCTCCTTTAGGTCTTTGTTCTAAGAAGGATAGTAAGAAACACCAGTATTCATATCCAATTCTTCATAATAGCCCTTTCAGTAACAAAAAAACAGAAAACGAGTGCTTGTTAATTGGGGTTAAAACTAAACAAATTGAACTAAAAATAATGGAATATTTACTAGGTATCTGTGATTGAAATATTATGCTATTAAGAAATATCAAATGAGGCATTCAGAATGACCACAGTCACATAAAAGATAAATACTAAAAAATACGAGATTTGAAATCAATGCAATGACTAACTTTCCCAAACAATGATGAATTGGTATACCTCCTACTCTACAGGGACACAAAAGAATGGGGCACATGCTTTCAGATGTTTGTTTTACCTAACTTTTTGCACTTTGTTACAAGGGAAGGTTTTGAGACACACCTGAGAAGTAAAATGAAAAGATATTATTAAAAATAATAAAAATAAGGATTGGACTACATGGAAGCATTGATTTAAATGAATAAAGATTAATGTAATGATGCTACTTATGTTTTCTCTACAGAATAATGCAAGCAATTTATGCACTGCTAGAATTATGGCCATTATTAGGTGGTTGTTTTTTTTTTTTTTTTTAAATTACAGTTCCTTGTTAAAAAAATGACCAAAGTAATGGTCACTATTTACAGGATTATTATGCCTATTACAAGTTATTGCCAAAATCTAGATCTAATTAGTATACCTTGTTTATCATATTTAATGTGCATTCAAAAACAGCATCAAATATCTGAGGTATTTCAGCAGTGATGTGTCCCCCTAATTTGTTGACAATGATGGCCATTGTACTAAGTACTTCTGGTTCTCTAGCAGCTGGAACATTTCTCTGGTAATCAATTAGAACTGCATCCAACAAAGGAGGAACGAAATTTTCTGCTACCTGTTAAGAGGCAATAAAATAAAAGTTTTAATCTGTAAATTTGAAACTATGAATTTTCTGTATCGTTCAATACTGGATCATCATTTACTATATGACTTGCAGCAGATTATATATAATCTTAACAGAAAATAGTTAAATCTAATAATCGAAAAAACCTAGAGGAACATTTTAAAGTTCTACTGTCTCAACTATGTTAACTCTTTTTTTCTAACCCAAACCCTTAATATATACAACCAACAATATCTTATAATATTGTGTAAATTGATTATATAGTGAAGTTTACTTTTCAGCAAGTCTAATTAAGAAATATAGGGAAAGGGACAAAATGCAAGAGGATTGGTGTTGACAGGTTCCATGCTAATCATATAAAATTTAAAGAAAATACATGACTCATTTATAAAGTGCTAGCTCCTTCAAATGAATTAAATTAAGACCTTACATAATTTACCTTTGGAATCAAAAAGTCAAATCAATTTACTAAATGCATTCTGAATTTATAGCAACATAAATGTGTATGGTACAACTAGGTGGTGCTGAAGAGAGAGCACTGGGATTGTGATCAGAAAGACCCCAGTTCAAATCTGGCCTCAGACACTTACTAGCTGTGTGACCCTGGGTAAGTCACTTAACCCTGTTTGCCTCAGCTTCCTCATCCGTAAAATAAGCTGGAGAAGGAAGTGAAACCACTCCAGTATCTTTGCCAAGAAACTCCAGATGTAGTCAGACATAACTGAACAACAATCATATATATATGAATACACACACACACACGAACTTGTTTCCTACCCATCTAGACCACTTAAATAAGAAATCTAAAACAATTCCTGTTTGATACACTGCAAAAGTTTTCAACTATCTCATGTGAATTATTTGCATCGATACTTAAAATTTTTAATAAAAACATCCCAAATTGCCCAAACTAATGGTTCCATATCGACACACTTCCAATCCTTGACAAAAACAATATGAATACTGCACAGAACCTAGAAATTACCTACCAATACAAATGTAAAAGCAGTTTCTTCTACTGATACATGAGTTTCTTTTGTAGAGAAGAAATCTGCTTCCCTATAACTCATACATCTCAATCCCGGTTTTGTCATCTGGAATCTCAAAAAGTTAAGCCCACTCTCTCTTCCTATTCCTTACAATAGCCTCTGAAATATTTTAAGATAGCAAATTTCTTGTAGTCACCACTTTTCCTACATAAATACCCTCAGGATCCACTTCGACCCTGACGTTGTATCTATATGCTATGGGCTCTTGTTTGATGATGAGAAAACTCTAAAAATTTTTCTCATCCTGCACTTGAAAAATTTTTTTAGGGAAAGAAAGTTTAGAACGTTTAAGTGGTTTAGAAATAAATGTTTCTTCGGGAAAATTCTCTTCATTAACATCTTCCTTCCTCTAAATGGATACTGGAGACAAACACAAATCATTTTGCCTCTTGCTAAGTAAAACACTGAATTCTATTTCATAAATAATTAGAAAACTGTTCATCTTCAGTAACATCTATTTTCCCTTTCCCTTCAAATTTTAGCTATACTGATTTTGTTTAAGCTGAAGAACTTTTCAATTAAAATTGTTCATCTTATTTTATTTTTTTTTTTGATGAGGCACTTGGAGTTAAGTGACTTGCCCAGGGTCACACAGCAAGTAAGTTTCAAGTACCTGATGCCATATTTGAACTCAGGTCCTCCTGACTCCAAGGCCAGAACTCTATCTACTGCACCACCTAACTGCCCCTTATCTTATTTTCCGTAATCCTTTATATACCTTGCTTGATAAAGAAGTCCTCCCCCATGCTTTAAATAAATATAAATGAAAAATTCTCTACCTCACGTCCAAATTGGGGGGGGGGGGGGGGGACCTTTGTTGGGGACGTGGGAGGACACTGATATTGTAAAAAAAAATTTTGGAAGACTAAATAATTCTCATCAATGTACTGACCACAGCCACAGTCAATATATGGCTATTTTTTTCTGATTATGCTAAAAAGAGAGGCTTTTAAAATTCAAGTATTTAGGAAAAATTCAGTTCTCTAATATTATAATTATTTTAGAATTGTAATATGTAAAGAACTTAACATTTATAGGGCACCATTTAATATTTTATACAACCTTCTAAAGGAGAACAAAAAACCTAAACAAAAATAAATTTCCTACTTACCATCTGTGGATCATTAGACCGGCTCACCCAACCAGATATTAATTTTAAAGTTTCTCTTTTTACTGTTCTCATACTTCTAATCAGGGGTTGTTTTGTAACCATTTCACCTAAAAAAAAAAAGTGAAATTTAATAAAATTCTATCAATATATTTAAAAACTGGTAGGTATTATTTGTTAGATCTCAAAAATTAACTTATTATTATATACTCATTATTTTGAGGGCTGGAAAAACTTAGCTACTGAGTCCAATAATAGTTAATATTAAATTCTTATTTTAAAAGTTATTTATCCTTGGCCATATTTCCAAAGTATTATCAGCAAATAAAGCCTGACCAAGAATTTAAATGGGACTTGTTGATATCTACAAAAACCTATAATGAAGAAGCAGCTGTTTCACTTAAACTGAGAAGAAAAAAAAACTGAAGGAATCAGAATGGGCAAGGAGGTAATAAAACTATGCCATTTTGCAGATGATGATGTTATACTTGGAAAATCTTAGAGTAAAATTCAACTAAAAAACTAATTTAAACAATAATTTTAGAAAACTAGTAGGATATAAAACAAACCAAGGGCAAGGAACCTGTGGCCTTAAGGATTTAGAAGGCCTCACGTGGCCTTACATGTGGACTTGACTGAACTCAAATGTTACAAAATAAAAGAATTTGTTCTGTAAAATTTGGATGCAGTCAAAAGGTCATACGTGGCCTTACAGCCACAGGTTGCCCACCCCTGAAATAACCAAAATACCAACAAGACGGTGCCAAATTTAAAAAACTGGAGAAAACAGTAGAAATGACAATTCTACCAGAGCCAATCTACTTATCCAATACCATCCCAATTAAATTACCAAAAAATTATTTTACTGGGCTAGAAAAAAATAACATTCACTAGAAGAACAAAAGGTGAATATCAAAGAAATTAACAGAAGAAGTAAAGCAAGGAGGTTTAACAGTACCAGGAATTAACTATCAAAACTATCTGGTGCTGGCTAAGAGATAGAAAGGTACAGTAATGGAATAGTAGGCATACAATAACCAGTAATAAATGATTTTAAGTAACCCTGTGTTTCACAAATAAATGTAAAGATTTAAGCTTTTGAGATAAAAATTGTTAGGAAAACTGGAAAGCAGCTGACAGAAACTGCGTATAGACCAATACCTTACACCATTTACCCAAGATAAGGTCAAAATAGATACACGCCCTAGATATAAAGTGAGCTATCAGAAAATCAGAACATGGAACATATTACCTATAAGGCTTATTGATGGACAGGAGAATTTATGAGTAAACAAAAGGTAGAGAGCAACATGAAATGTAGAATAACTGATTACATTAAATTTAAAAGTTTTTGTAGAAATAAAACTAATGTAGTCAAGATAAGAATGGAAGAAGAGAAATGGGGAAAAATTTTATAGATGGTTCCTTGGATAAAGGACTCATCTCACATATTTAGAGAACTTTGTCAAATTTGTCAAAGAATGAGGCATTTTCCAATTTTTAAATGGTCAAAGGATATGAACAGGCAGTTTTTTTTTTTTGAAGGGAAAAAACTGTATCGACATGAAAAAATGCCAAGTTATTACTGATGAGAAATGCAAATGAACACAACTTTGAAATAACAACAGAAGGGAAAAATGACAAATGTTGTAGGGGATATGGAAAAACTGGGACACTATTACTGTTGGTGGAACTGTGAACTGATCCAACCATTTAAGAGCAATCTGAAATTCTGCCCAAAGAGTTATATTCTAAAATATTTATAGCAGCTCTCTTTGTAGTGGCAAAGAAATGGAAATTGAGGGGATGCCCATCAATTGGTGAATGGTTGAAAAATTTTTGTTGTGTGATTGTCATGGAATGCTGCTGTGATGAAGAAATGATAAGCAGGTTGATTTTAGAAAAACATGGAAAGAGTTGCATGAAGTTAATGAAGAGTGAAATGAGCAGGCCCAAGAGAATGTTGGAGGCAGTAACAACAATACTGTTCTAAGAACTTAATCCTTTTGATTATAAATACTCAATTCATTAGTTGATTATAGATTATAACAACCATATAGATTATAGTATACTATATAGATTAGTATATAGTATACTACATAGATTATATAGATACATAGATTATGGATTATAACTACTCAATTGTAGTTGATTAAGCTACAAAGTAACTATAAAGTTAGATGCTATCCACCTCCAGATAGGGAATGATAACTAGAAGTGTGCACAATATGATTTTACATGGGTTTATAAAACTGTCAAATGGTAGCCTCTAGCTCGGGTTAAGGAGGGAGGAAAACGGTTTGGAACTTTAAATTTAACAAAAAATAAATAGAAAAGAAGTAGCTGTGAGGTCTTATGTTTAATAAAAGATGTTTGTTTCTATATCCCTACATAGATTTACAAATTTATTTTCAATGTACTTAAAGTTTTAACTTCTGGAGACTGAATGCCTTTTGTACACTCCTATGCTAGCTGAAATACACCATATTGTTATTATAGGAGATATACAATAAATGAACATTAAATTGGTGTCTTCCTAGGAATATTACTGGAAAGTCTCCCTCCATCAACTGGCCTCTCTTGTGACAATGAACAGGTGTAAGGAGGGTCACGTCCTCACGGACTCAGAGTCAGACCCTGGGACTCTTCTCAGCAATTCCAAATCTCCCTCCCTTTCACAATTTTGCTATGCCTAGGCCTCCTGTGCACTTGAATATTAGAGAAGCCTAGGTTTCAACTGTGTCTTTACCCAGATAATATTTCAAAATATATATTTTTCTATGACAAACAATTTTGCAGATTCTTATCATATGCTTAGAGTAAGATATTTCCCATATATAAAACCAGGCCAAGCCAAATATAACCTCAATTCCTGTACTATCCTATGTCAATTCACAATGGATATTACTATACTGTCCTAATTTCCTGAAAATTAGTTGTCTTTTGAGATAAATAATTGGACTAATCTTGACCAAGTTGTACAAAGTGAAAGGAAATATACTAACACCAGAAAGATTTTCTACTTACTGCAGTAAAAAAGAATTTAGAAAACACTTACCATTGGCCTGGATAGCTGCAGAAATATTTTCACTGAGGCACTTGTACACATTAAGCATATCTAAATAAATCCGTCCAAGTTGAATTACAAAGGGGTGACCAACAGCTTTACATGCTCTTACATTTGTTTTCAAAATACTTCCAAGCTGCTTAACTGTTTCAGGATCCTTAAGTATATCCACATTCTGTAAGAAAAAATTTATTCCACATCTGACATACAATAAACCCCAAAATGATACAGTAAAACATAGTATATAAAGACATATAAAGGATATTATCTCTTTAGACAAATTTCTACTAGTAATACAGTCTTAGGAAGTGCAATACAAGAGAGAAAATGTAGTAAAGTATACCAGACATGTTCTTCAATGGTACCTTTTTTTTTTTTAAACGAGGGCAAAAGAATTCTCTACATTTATCATGCACAGATAATAAATACAATATACCCAGCCCAAATACTGTCAATCTAACATGGCAAGTTTACAAAACAGTCATTCACAGTACTAATTCCAAGTTATCTATATTATAGGGCTGGTTTGTCATTTTAAAATCTAAATATCTGCAATTTAACATTCTAAATGAGAAGGGGGAGAACCTAACAGTCGATTTTCCAATTATAGGGGCAGTCAAGCCTAGGTAACAAATATTCATAGAATGAAAGTACTATCATACAAATAAAAGACTATTTTATAGACAGAATTTACAATTTCCCACATACTCACAGGCAACCTTGCCCTGACATACTATAATCTTTGAAAACAATTTTTAAAAGTTTTCAGTATCAGTATTTATTCTTTGAATCCAAAGTCTTATCAAAATATTTTGAAGTTTAATGACTCTCTGTGAGTACTTGTGCCATTTATATACACCGTAATTTCTTTAAACCTTCTTGTTTCATTCTTTTTCATACAGTTTGTTGTTCAGTCATTTTTCTTTCATGTCTGACCCACTGGGATCCCAATTTGCAAGAGGTTTACCACTTCCTTTACCTCATTTTATGGATGAGGAACTGAGACAAACATAGTTAAGTGAACTGCCCAGGATCACCCAGCTAGTGAATGTCTCTGGCCAGATTTGAACTTAGGAAATGAGGATTCCTGATTCCAAGTCAAGCACTCTATCCACTGTACCACTATACTGCCCATATATTCTCTAGAGACTCTTAATTTACCCATTATGTAAGGTTATTTCCCTCTCATTTTTTATACTAAAGAGGTACCAAATCACAATTTAGGATACCCATTCACTTTCGTTCTTGCCACACAGGCCAGATTTCTCGGTAGGCATTTATATTTAAAACATACCTTTTAAAAATCACTCCCTGTACATGAATCATTGAACATGCTTATATACACTATTTATGCCAACCACACAGCTTTAAAAAAGTACCAAAGAGAAATCCAAATCAGCTGTCTAGTTTGTTCCCAATCCACGCCTTTGTTATATATAAGTTGTCCCTAGTGCCAAGAACTGAACTCCCTCTTCATTGCCAGCCTCTTAGAATCCCTAGTTTCTTCAAAGCTCTTCAAAGCCTATTGACTGACTAACAGGCTAGTCCAACTATACAGTCGCATGTTATTATCTAGACAGTATAGTTTTCATCCATATTATCTTTCTAGCATGGATGGTTAGCACAACTGCTATGCACTACTGTTAATTTCACTGAGGAAGCCTGTAGTATTTTCCATGTGTCAATGCAATTGCTAATAGCATTTTAGAGAATCTCTAATCATCTTCAATGGAGAAACCCTTTTCCTTGGACTTCACAAAGGAAACTTTCTATGACAATGATGAATGAAAGTCTTCGTATAACATCTTGCTGCTTACTATCTCATAGGATGCCAAAAGTCAGTGACTCCATGAAATTACTGCTGTAATTGTATGTATAATAAAATTACATAAAATTCTTACATACCAACATCTTCTAGGCTGAATTTTGTTCTCACAAGTCAAATATAGATAGAGCACCCATGACTTAGTTTAGGAGTAGTACGCTGTCTTTTCTTACATGAATCACAGCTGTTACGGTATGACTTATTAAATAACCTCACAGTATATTGGTCCATACCTATTTGAAAAACTAGGTCTATGCCCATTTGATTGCTCTGTAGACACTTCTTTCCCAAAACATCAGTGACTCCTAAGATTTCCCAAGAACACTTACTTTGGTGGCTTGCTGAATTATGCTGTCCCACACCTGATTAGGAAGTAGCATATATTTTTCTATCAAATGTTCTTGTACTGTTTGGTCAGTTTGTGCACCAATCATGTATCCAACAGCTTCATAAAATGTATGAACCTAGTATGAAAAATAAAATTACACTCACCAATTTAAAAATTTTTAGTACTTTTCATATTAGTGAGCTTCCCTTCTCATGCTTCATTATTAAAAACTTGCTTCACAACATGAATACCTCTTTAGAAGACTTCATTCAGCCCCCCTTCATTGTAGAGCAATTTCAAATAGATGGGAACTGCTATTTTCAGAATACCTATCATATACATTACTCTACACCCAAAGGTTAAAATTTTTATTATCAACCTACAACTATAATAAAACGTTATCCGTAGCATTTTCACAGTTTACCTTCTAGTTTTAAATTTTATCCTTATAAAGATTCCAATATCAAAAAAGCTAAACAATGCTTATTATGAGAACTCATTTCATCTAAGGAACCACAACTGAATTTGGTAATTGCCCCAACTACTACTGAAGTAGTCCCATTTCTTTCCCATTACCATCAGTAAGATACTTTATAAAACTTCTAGGAAACATACCTGCTGAGGCTGAAGATCACAAATGATAGTGTTAATGTTGTTCAAAATCTCATCAATAAATGGCATTACTTCTCCAACCTGAACCTGAACAAAATGCCTGCGGCATTTTTGTGCTATTTTTATGAAGGTATCACAGGCCATATCCTGGACACCATCATGGGTTTCTAAACAAAGAAAAATGCTTTAAGTATTTTATTCTCACCAAAAGAAAATTAAAGAGGCATAATGAGAAAATTTAAAACTTACCATGCATGAATTCAAATAACTTGTTGACCACAGTCTTCAAAAATTTCCAATGAGCTCTCAAAAACCTTGGATACTGACCTACTATGTACATGATATTTGATGCAATAATAGCTTTATTATCTTTGCCTCTTTTCTGTTCACATAATCCTAAAAGATCCTGTAATATAGAAGAAAATCTCATTTAGAGAATGCTGATAATCAGACTGAAAAGAATTTTCTTGCAATCATTGTAGGAAGGACAATATTTTTCTGGAAATGAATTACCTACAGCTTTTTTAGAGAGATTCTCCAAGAAAGGGAAAAGCATATGTGTATAACGTATATACACAACGGTTTTATCTTCTGGCCAAGAAGTAGAAAGGGAAGCACAAGTGAAGAGAGTGACAAAATGCTTTTTGCCATTGTTATTCTTATTCACGGTATGTCAGAGAAAGTCCAACACTGTCTGAGGTGTGTGAGACCATTGAGTTACTGTTGCTGATCGGGAATTAAGAACTTCTATGTACTATGTCGCAGGACAACAGAAACGAAAATCCCATGAGTTATATGAGTTAAGCAAAGGAGTGAAATTAGGTTAAAGTTAAGGGTTTCTGGACCTAACAGAAATTTGCATTTAGAGTAGGTGTTTTTCATCTTTTTTTTTTTGCTTCACTGGCCCATCCTTGACAGCCTATGAAACTGATTCTCAGAATATTTTGAAATGCATACCATGATACAGGTAGGATTACACAAAGGAAACCATGATATTGAAATACAAAACCTGTTTACAGACCCCAGATTAAGAAGCTCTGGCAGCTGGAACTTTGTTCCATTTCAACAAAAAAATACAGGTTTCCAAGATGTGACAAACTATACCTTTTATCAATTCTATCATCACTTCTAACATTTACTTGTATCCATAGTAAATGTAATTTATATGGTGCTTTAAGATTTATACCATGCTTTTGTCATAATACTAATCATAAGATTAGTAAACTGTAGCAAGGAAGTTAAATCATTTGGTTAGGATCACACAATCAAGGTTCTTAGTCTAGATTCAAACCCAAGTTTCCGGACTGAGTGTCTAACCAGGCTCCCCACCAGGCTTCATGAATTTATAAGAGAAACAAAGGCAAAGAGCTCAAAATCCACATACACTTGCAACATACCTTTATGACTGTAACAAGAAATCTTTTTTCATCCTCTTCATGCATCGCTCCACTAATTGAGCCTATTGCCCAACATAAAGTGTTCAAATTTTTCCAAGACCATTCTGTTCCATTCACCTGATTGTGAAGTTTTTCAGTCATTATTCTTTCAGTATCTGCATAATCCAGATGTGTAAGATATACTGAAAAAGGGAAGCAGAAGGGAATAAGCATTTATGTAGTGCCTACTAAGTGACAGGCATTGTGCTAAGCACTTTACAAATAATCATCTCATTTCAGAACACATTTCAATGATAACTTTATGTATATTGTCAACTTTGTGTTTAGGAAAAACACATACCACTCACCCTGAATAAAGCCACTTACATAGGTAAATGGCTATGTGTATCTGCAATAGGCAGGCAATAACACGGTCACCTCAATTCACACCCACCCACCCCCACCACATGGCAAATATGGCAACCTTACCACTAACTAATTGCTGGACTTTAGAATCTTGCTTTTACAAAGCTTATTACATATATTACAATTACATTTCCAACAGCAGCATTAGAGCTTATCAAAATGGTTTAGTAACCAGTCTAGGCTCATCTTTCAAATTCCCCCTGGCACTGGCTGGTTTGGTGTTCAGGGGACTGGCTAACTATTACTCCTCCTCAAGGTTCTAAAGGTAAACTTGAGAAGCTGGGGTTTTGAGAACTATTGCTCATGAGTCTTTTTCCATTGTCTTCATTATCATTATTTCCCAACATTAACATATAGTTCAAATTTAAAGTTACCGCTATCAACTTACCCAAAGTTTCTCTCATATTCTTATACAAATTAATGGAGTCTGTATCCTTCATAAATTCTCGCACAACTTCTCCCTGATCATTTTCTACAACCAACACTTCTTCAGGTTTAGCCATTCGACTCACCATCAATAAACGGACCTATTTACAATATGTCAATGGGGAAAAATATCTTAACATTAGGGCTTTAACATGTCAATGGATTTATGATTATTCTTGACACTTCCCTCCACTGTTGATTATACCCCATCCATACCATCTGGTTCCAGGCAATTCTTCTCACATTCCTCTAAAGAGGATCGACCTACTAAGTTGGGTCCCTTCTTCTAGAGAATTTTGTATTCAGCAGCAAAACATGAAAGAGATCTCTCAAAGAGATCCATGCTTACCTGAGACAGCAAATTAAGCAGCCCAACAACCCACACAGCAAAAATCTGACATAGATAACCATTATGATGAGTTAATACTTAAACACAGTATTTGGGACAGGTACGGAGAACCAGGCTGATATGATCTGGGAAACTGTAAAATGCTTTCAATGACCACAAAGAGCACCCCAAAGATAGCTAGCTTTTACATAGAGAGTTACAAGTTTACAAAGAGCTTTACTGAAACATTATCCTATTTGAACCCCACAACAACTCTGAGACAGATGCTATTAACATCACCCCATTTTACACATGACAAAATGCAGGGAAGATTTAATGACCTGTCCAAGGCCCCACAGTTGTGTCACACTTATCAAAATGCCTTAGGCAGGGTTCAAATGCAGGCCTTTTTGACTCCCCAAGTGGCTTTAGCCACTGTGTCTATCACCCACTTGGTTGCAGTGCTGCTCAATAATTGTGACCTTGGAAAAGCAGTAGAGAGACACACAAGGGTTTCTTGCTAAAGAGTTAAGTCATGTTACCAAGAATATTGATGACTAGATAAAGAGATGGATTAGTGTGAATAAATGCTAACAGACGGCTTCCTATACTGGCAGTCAAGAAATGGGTGAGGTCCAAGTAAGAAGTTATTTTCAATCTTCTAAGTTTTCTACTACTCTTAAGCATCAGATATCACAAATTAAGTTCATCCAACTAATTTTCTGGCAGGAGGAAGGATAGCTTTTTGAAAGGAAGCTATGCAGTCATTTCTATGCACATTAGTTACCTTGGATAATACAGGTAGGTAAAGTTGTCTCCTGGGAGGAACATCAAAATGTTGACTTCCAGACAGCATTGGAGAGGCAGATGTTGAAAATGGACTTTCTCTGTATAATTCAGCTGCCAAATGGTTCCAATACTCAAGACAAATCTTAAAGATTTCAGTTTCTTCTACTTCAGATACCAACAACATATAGTGAAGAGCCTATGCAAAGCAAGGAAACTAGGTGTTAGAAAAAAAATGGTCCTATGTCAAATTCACTTTTTTACACAAATAAATCCCCCTCATATGATGTGGTACTTTGATGAAAAAATCCCTATCTAAAGCTTTATCGTATATGTACAGAATGTGTTTGGAGCAGAAATAAATTCTACAATATATTTGTAAGATAAAGATGAATGAGAAATAAAACTTAATGCTTTTATCCATGTCAGTGTTTAATGTTATGATATATGTTTTCATTCAAAAAGAAAAAAATTCCTACCTCCATCAATGTTTCCCTGAGACTTAATCGCTTTTCTATAAGTTGACCATGTTCTTTAAGGAACGTACAGAGAAACAAACTGAGATTCTGGATGAAATTTTGTTCATCATCTTTTCCATTGGAGTAAGCAAGTCGAATATTGGTATTTAAAGGTAACATCTGAAATTAAAGATATTTAGCAATAAAAATAAAAACTCTTCTTTTACCCATTCTTAACTGATAAATTCCAAAAATGTGTTATTCCAAGTAATATTTAGTTTATATTCAAAGACTTCCAGGGTTTCCTGCTATTATTATTAGGCATTACCAAAATTCTGGCTATAATTCAAAGCCAATCTCCATCCCATCCCCACCCTGTCTATTGTTCATCCTGTTGCTCATAAATAATTCTTCATATCACTTAGTAACACAGTAAATCACTATTAAGTATCTTAAGTAAAACATCAAGATCAAGCAAGATCTGTTGAATATAAACTGAGAAACTGGAATATTTCTACATTGTTTTTTTAACACCCAGAACCCAAAATCTTTGATTGGGCAACAAGGCCTGGATGTAACTAACATACTTATCTAATCTAATGTCTATACTGTTAACACAATATAAAATCATATTGAGGGAAACTATTGGTAGATGTTGCCATTCCTTTTTTTCTTATCTAATCTAATAACATACTTATCCTTTTGATGAACTCTTAAGAAAATTGTGAACATTTTCAAAATACTAATTTTAGACTGAATCTTCCTAGCTTCTCTCTTTTTTTTTTTTGCTTTTTGGTGAGGCATTTGGGGTTAAGTGACTTGCCCAGGGTCTCGCAGCTAGTGAGTGTCAAGAATCTAAGGCCAGATTTGAACTCAGATCCTCCTGACTCCAAAGCTGGAGCTCTATCCACTGTGCCATGTAGCTTCTCTTTCAATTGTAAGCAAACTGATTCCCCCATGACAATTACAGAATTCTAATGAATATTTTCACTGATTTACCTTCAACAATATAATCTGATCAAAATGAAATGATTCTAAAGAATCACAAGTTACCTGTTTTAGCTGCATCATTGTCAGTGTAAATAGTGTTACAAATTGTTCCTCATACTGGCTTACACTCACACCAGCAATCTCAGTGAGGCACTTCAGAGAAACATTTCGAAACATTGGAACATTTAGAAACTATTCAATGAAAAAAAAAAAAAAGGAAACATTAATAATGGACCCATAAAAAGTGTTAAGTAGAATCTTATCAAGTGAGGGCATGAATAAGAGATAGAGGAATGGATAAAATAAGAGAAATGAATTGCCACATGTTACTATTATTATTATTCCCCAGTAAATCACATTTTTGGTGCTTGAATTCTTAAACTACTACTATATACTTACATGAAGACATGAAAGTAACTTTGTCCAAACCATCTCTTACTAACATTTATTTAGCACTTACTCTTCAGGGTTGTTGTGAAAATCAAATGAGACAATTATAAAGCTCTATAGCACAATGCCTGGCACTCAGTAAGTGCAATGTACATGTTAACTGTATTATTAAATATAGACCCTACTATAAAAGCTACCATGCAGAAACAGAGCAGTAAGCAGCCTAAATAATCACCTTTTACTTTTCTGTATTAAAGGACTGAAGTTGTACATTCCCCATTGTTGAAAAAACAATGGGAAGTAGAACAATGAAGACACCATGAAGCAACTGAAAAGCACACAGATGGATTACAGACCTTATACACACACAATATTACTCTCTTATCTAGCATTAAAACATACATTTGGCAAATTGCCAATCGTAGCTGTCAATGAAATGATTAAGAAGGAAAAAATATTAAGTATACCTTATATATTAATGTGCTGATTAACTTGGTTTCGAAAATATATCCCAGTGGAATCCAGTTTAGAAATCTTAGCAATGTTTCCAAAGTGGCATGTACCAGCGTAGCACTCTGGGAATTTTCCTGAAACAAAAATATAACTACAGTAATTGTCTCCTAAAATAGTTTTCATTTAAAAAAATTGAAAATAAAATTACTCACCATCACAAACTGACACAGCTGAAATATCTGTGAGAATTCATTGCACATGCTATAAAAAAGTGATCAAAAATTTAGAAAAAATCTTTCATTATAACATCTTATTAATATACAAAAGCAGCAATTTCTTTTTACCTTTTCTTTTCTAAATATAAAAATAAGAATGTAAGAAGTTTAACATTCTATTTTATGAACAATCCTATGACCAAGGCACCCTGTCTTGTAGATTACTTTGGTCTTAGGCAATTCAAGACATATAAAACTTAGTTTGTGTATTTTTGCTCCCCTCCCAACTATCCGTCACCTCCAGTGTTAAAAGTAGTAAAGCAATATGGTCATTAATTTAATTCCTAAAAGTGCTATATAACAATACTCCTACGTACTATTGAACACCAAATAAATGCCTGCCTTTCAGATGGCTAGCTTAATTTTGTCATCTGATTCTACCCTAAAAACTTCAGTCAAGTCAATACCTTTAACCCAGAGAAAGAGTACTAAAATCTTCCCTTGTGTCCAAATACTTGAAAGAAAAAAAGGAATGGCAACATCTACCAATAGTTTCCCTCAGTATGATTTTATATTCTTGTGTTAACAGTATAGACATCCATCTTGGAGGGAAAAAAAAGGTCAAGTTTCCCACAAATGTTTCTATTAGTTAAGGGGATTTTTTTTCTTTTGCTATTTCCCTTAAGTTTGAAAAGGCTCCCATTCATTAAAGAGAAATTATAACCTCCAATTAATTAATTATCTAGGTATCCAAGTATGCCTAAAAAGGTAGCTGCCACCACCCCCCCCAATTTGGAACTAGTAAGAATTGGGGAAATTTAAAAAAAAAAAAAAAAAAAACCACTGCAAAAAATACTAGCCATGTGGAGAGAAATAACCACAAACTTCTCAATTCACTTTAGACTGATTCCAGGGTAGTTTGCTTTAGCACTACTTTCCTCATGCACTTCTTATACAGCTTGCTTTCTCTCTTACCCTATATGAACAATTCTCAAGTTCCCTTCATTCATAAGGCTCAAAAGTTGCTATTTCTCTAAATATAATACTATCTTGAAGAGTAATAACTTTTAGACAATTCTATTATGATAATTATAAAAGAATACTCACCTGTCTTTCAAATGCTTTGCTTTCACTTGAGTGATCTGCCCACTGGAGAAATCAAATACTTCCTCACTCAATAGTTTAAGGATCACCATATTATTCTGGCAGAGACTTTCACTGGACCTACTTGCTCCTACAATGTCACTGATGAAAGTTGGCCAGTGTTTGGGCCATTCCTGCTTTAAGATCTAAATGTACAAAACACAAAATTATTTTCATTATTTATAGTTTGCTTCCTTCAATTAAAAAAAAAAAAGCTTTTAAAAAAAAGGAGCAAGCCTTAGGCTGGTACTGACCATCAGCTACCTGAGAACACCTAACAAGTTTAAAAAGTCTGTGTCAGTACCATCTATTCATATTCTCTGCCTAAAAGAGGATTGAGAACAGCCTCCATTCACATTACACTTTTTATTAAGCAGATCAGAAAGTCATGATTATCTTTCATTGAACAAACCTATTAGAAGACATCAGGGATAAAAAGCCAAAGCCTTCCAAGATTTATACTTCTCCAAGGTCATAAACTCTACCAGCTTCTCCAGAAATGACTGAAATCTGATGCCAAAGCTCCAAATATTTTCTAAGAAATACTAGGATCTCTAAGCATTCCTCTATTTTTCATCCCCTGTAAAGGGAGCTTAAAAAAAAAAAAAAGGCTAGACAATAAGCTATAAAAATTACAAATAATTATAGCTTTTTCTGCATCCACCTTTATTGATATATAAGTACTAATGTAGCCAACTTACAAGTCATAAGACATATCTGAGCTACTAACTATTCCTATATAATGACACCCAAGTAGGAAGCTTACCTGAACAAGAATCATATTCAATTTTCCAATATACACCTTTTCTTTCTAGGGAAGGAAGTGGGGGGAAAAAAGGGTGAGGTTAGCTTATAAAAAGAGTCTAAACAGGTTCTGATCAAAGTGAATCTAACAGGTTTCCTACCTACTGTTGCTACATAAGGTATATTACATGGTTAAGGAGGCAAAGAAAGAGAACAGGAAAGCCAAAAGAGGATAAGATGATATTATGCACAGGCCTAGTTTAAAAAGGAACATTGATCTAGACCTGGTAGGACTGCAGAGTTTATCTAATGCAATCCTGCCTTCCCCCCTCAATTATACAGTTGTGGTAAAATAACCAAGAAAAAGGACTTTAAGCATCAGAGATGGGATTTGAATCCAGATCCTCTGACTCAAGAGTTAGTGCTAATTTGTCTGAACCAGCTATTTGTCATATTGAAGAGAAATCTCACCTCTACACATGTTGGGTCAGATGAAGTCTTTATGATAAGGCCAACAACGTATTTTTTGATTCCTGCAAAAATAAAGCTATACTTTAATAATGACAGGGTCTTTATAAAGATGCCCTTTTCATATGTGTTAATATCTCTATTATGCCAAGATGTCATATATCTATGCAAAATACATACACATATATCTATGTAAAATATTCCTAAGGAATAATTATAAAAACATTAGATGACCCAAAACATTTCCTGTAATTTTAAAAGGACAGCTCATTTTTCTGTATTTATTTAGCTGTAAATACAACTTAAACAAACATTAATATTTCCTAATTTAAGCTGAATAGATTTTACCTATATTAATAGCTAAATAACAGTGTTGTGAGCGTTACAAAACTGAAATGAAAACAAATCTCATTTGATGCAGCAACCCTTTGAGCTAAGTTATTATTATCTTTTTTCAAATGAGAAAACTGGAGTTAAATAACTGATTTGGTTTTTCAACTAAAAAATAAGATTAGAACTTAGTTCTCTCGACTGATTGTTCAATGCTCTTTCCATGCAGCAGACAGAAAATTATACCAAGTTGTCCCTTCTAAAAGATGTAGTTCAGTCTAATTTTCTCAACTTTTATTGGAAATTTAGTTATTTTTCACCTATAATTAACAGTATCCTCTACAAAATCCACCTGTGATGCTTGATGTCAAGGAAATGACCTAGGTCCTTGCAGACTATTCCAGTGAAACATAAGCTGAGAAGTTTCTACCATGATGGAAAAGCTTTGAGCATGGTGCTGGCAACATACTGTGTTTACTTTCTAAGAACCCTAGCTAAATAAGGAGACATTAATCACCACGCAATGAATGTGGCTCCAGGAATTCACAAAAAAGAGGAAAAAGAAAAAAGGTAAATAACCCTCTGTCCACTGAAGCTTTTCCCACTTTTGCCATGATGATGACAAGGTGGTAGAAAAAGGGGAAGAAAATATTTGAACTACAGTTTTTAAGATTGCTTTTATGTAATGACAGCTGTCCTTGAAATAGGATCATCTTTGTTCAGTTACCAATAAGTAAACATTATTTAAGTAGAACTCAACTACATCAATCTTAATAGTTAGTTATGTGATAAATGAAAGGAAGACCAAATGAAGTTGTGCCTAACAATAATTACAAATAACTTCTCCCAGGTGAGGCAAATGAAGGTACTGCTTTTTATAAGGTACCCAAAGAGGAATAAGGCACACCTCTTGGGATATATATTTGGTCATTTTGTATTGCAGTGCTCATGATGAGCATTTACAAAATCAACTGCCATAAAAATATGTGTAGGGGCAGGTAGGTGGCGCAGTGGATGGAGTACCGGCCCTAGAGTCAGGAGAACCCGAGTTCAAATCCAGCCTCAGACACTCCCTAGCTGTGTTACTCTGGGCAAGTCACTTAACCCCAATTGCCTCACCAAACAAAACAAAACATAAAAGTAAGTGTAACTGATGTATTAATAATTATTACTTAGGATGAGCAAGCAAAATTCTACAAAAAGATAGGTTAAGAGCTCCAAATTAAAACAACATTTGCTTTTAATTCAGTGATTGATAAACTACAGTAGACAGGAAAAAAAAAGCTGGAAAACATGGAAAACTGATTCAAAGACTTATCATATAGAAGCCTCCCATTCAAATACTATACTTAGAATAATGAGGAGCTGAACAAAGAAAGCACCAATTAACATCACAACACACAAATATATACACCTACAAATTGACTCAGGAAATAAATTAACATGTTAGAACAAAGATCAAAAACAAAACATAAGAATAAGATATTATTACCTCAAAAAAGCAACCAAGAAAATAACCAATTACTACCCATCTATATGCTTCCTTGCCCGAGGTGTACAAGTCTTTGAGAATAATCTAAGCACGCACATAAAAATTCAAAAAATTACATTCTAGAGCAGACATCATCTTTATAGTCACGGCTGGTTGAAAAGCATAAAGTATTCTAAGAACTTTGTGATACGGCAAAATGCAAACTTAAAACTCTCCAACAAGAGCTCTCCGTTACATATGCAAATGATACCTCAAAAGAATTAACAGAATTAAACTGGTTCTCTCATTATCAATTATAAAACGAAGCACAAAAAAGCAGATGTGTTTGCTGTCTTCATGGTCAGTGTATATATATACTCCAGGATAGGAGTTCAGCCTAGGGAATTTTTATTTCAATACCACTGGTTTCGTTTGTAATTCCTACTTATTTTATGTATTTAAAACCATTATTCGGAAGAGGTCTCAGACATAAAAAAAGTTAAGAATTCTTGCTACAGAGGTGTGAAGTTCATCAAAATACTGTCTATAATTGTGCTTTCTTAACTGAGATAATCAACTTAAAAGTTTGGTCATATACACACTAGAAAAACCAATTAGATAAAAAATGCCTATTTTTCTTATACCAGGATATGGAATAGAACTGTTCCATTAGTACACATATTGGAAAGACACTGAAGTTGGACTATGAGCACAGAAACGAATAGGATTTGAATGAGTTGGTTTGCCTTCCAAAATTCTGTAGTACTTTTAATAATATTGTTTTTTTTTTTAACAAAAGCTGTCATTTTAATGATCTGCACACAACTTCAATGTGCAAAGTTGAGGCTCATCTAAAGGGCAATGATGACAAGACAGGCTTGAATATGCTTTATCATCCTGTCAACCATGAATTAAGACAGAGAAATGAAGAAATGGACAAGTCACACAGGGGAGTCTGTGAAAGGATTCTAAATCTTCAGTCTGGAAAGAATATCCACCCACAATTAATTGCATCAATATTTATCTGTGTTTATTGCTAACTTTCCTTAAGCCTTATTCTTATTCTATATACAGTAATACACAATAGAATATAACTTATTGAAAAACCTACAAATTGCTTTGTGAAACCATCTGGTCTTAGGAACATATCAATTGGAAATTAAGATATTCTGAATTTAGCTGGCATTTTCCACTATTGGGAAATCAGTAAATAAAACTGATTTTTATATTATGTTGCATAACTGTATTTCCCACCACAATCACATGGACTTTTCCTCACAATAAATTCAGCAATGTTTTACTAAAACATTTCCATGAAGGAGCAATAGGCCATTCACTTTAATGACAGTACTCATAATTCAGAAACAGATTTAAACTAAACAACATAGCACAACAAAGAATGAACAGTTCCAGTAATTTTTAGTATTATTCCATTGAATGAGAATGAAATGGATATGAATGGCGTCAATTAAAAAAAAAACAAAAAACAAACACACACATACCAAGCATAAAGACTCTATTACTTACAATTATCTTTTTTGAAAGAGGTGACCATCCTATTTCATATGGTATTGAAACCAAATACAATCACCTTATTTTTTAAAAATTGGAACGTTATTATATTAATAATGCCAATTATCTTACAAATACTATCTAATATACTATATAAAATGGTTTGAGTAGTTCATACAAAGTCATTTCTGCTTTAATACTTAAATTTAAATTACTGCCTATTTTCCCATGAGTTGTTTAAAGCTTTATGTTTAAACTGTATTTGATTAGCAAATTAGACTGTGCTAGAGGTAGAGCCAAGATGGTAGGGTAAAGGCAGAGACTCATCTGAGCTCTCCCTACACTCTCCAAATACCTTTAAATAATGACTCTAAACAAATTCTAGAGAGGCAGAACCTACAAAAAGAGAAGAGTGAAACAATTCTCAGCATGAAAGGTCTGCTGCACCAGAGTGAGAGAGGAGTGCAGTCCAGCACTGGCAAGCAGACAAGGCCCCAGCAAAAGAGGAACAGGCCTCAGGGTGACAATCAGTAGCAGTAGTGGTGGTTTCCAGACCTCTCTGCCCACAGATTGTAAGAGGATTGGACAACCAGTCAAAAGGAGATTAACAGGATTTCCTCTGCTGGCACCAGTGGCAAGAACTGTTTCATTGCCTATACTTGGAAGTGGGTCACAGTCTTGGGTCTTGGTTCCAGTATGAGGAGGAGCACTAACACAGCAGACCTTGTGGAAGCAGGGGAGCAGGATTCTTGTCACACACAGTTCTAGGGTTGAGAAGAGTGCTTGTGGTAGCTAGCTCACAAACCAAGGCCCAGTACAGGAAAAACACACCTCTCCCTAGATTATACCACCTTGTAAGAGACAAAAATTTACAGGTCCCCAGAACTAACCCTGAAAATAGCTACACAAAACACCTGAAGTTTGGGATAGTGACTCTTCCGCTTGTCAAGCGAGCCCCAGTACAGCGTGAGAGTTAAAAGTCAAGAATTAGGTAGAGGAAAAATTGGGAAGAAAAATGAGAGTGATCCAAGAAGATCATGAAAACAGTCAACACCTTGGTAAAGGAGGCAGAAAAAAAATACATTTAAAAGAATACCTTTAAAAACAAAACAAAACAAACAAAAAAAAACCACAACAGGCTAAATGGAAAAATATATATACAAAAATTCACTGAAGAGAACAACTCCTTAAAAAGTAGAACTGGCCAAATGGAAAAGAAGGTACAAAAGCTGACTAAAGAAAATAATTCCTTGAAAATTAGAATTGGGCAAGTGGAAGCTACTGACATCAAGAAACAATCAAACAAAATAAAAAGAATGGGTAAAAAAAAGTGAAATCTCATCGGAAATAACTGACCTGGAAAATCCATTCAGGAGAGTTAAATTTAAGAATTATTGGACTACCTGAAATTCATGATAAAAAAAAAATAGCCTGACATCATCTTCCAAAAAATCATCAAGCTAAACTGCCCTGATATTCTAGAACCAAAGGGTAAAATAGAAATTTAAAAAAAAAAAAAAAAAAATCCACTGATCACTTCCTAAAAGAGACCCCAAAATGAAAAGTCCTGGGAATATTATAGCCAAATTCCAGAGCTCCCAGGTCAAGAGGAGAATATTGCAAGTAGCCAGAAAAAAAGTATCACAGAGCTACAGTCAGATTTAATACAAGACTTAACAGCTTCTACATTAAAGGACAGGAGGGTTTGGAATGATATTCCAGAAGGCAAAGGAGCTTGGATTAAAACCAGAA